ATATATATATATATATATATATATATATTCAGTTAAAGAGATTTATTAGTTTGGAGTACAATTTCAGCAGTGAATCAGAGCTGTCTAACCAATAGTTGCTCAAGTATTTGGACTCATGATTCTTGTCTGGGGACTAGCTCTATTATGGTTGATCTCATGATCTTATAACATATCTTTTCCAAGCTTTAAGTGACATTGAGTTAAATAGATAACTGGAAAAGTGAAAGCTTTGTAGAACTTATAATTGATAGATATAAGCCTTTGCTTGGAACATCTAACCCATTGTCTTTGGGAGGAGAGAGTTTTATAGCCTCTTCACTTGTTTGGGCTGCATAAGCTAAGCATATTTGTATATGGAATAGTTCTTCAACATTATCCATTGTTTACTATGAAGTGAATGTAAAATTATTTTACTGTAGTTGTTAAATCTTAAAATTGATTTCCATGTTCAATTTTCATTTTTTAAGATGATCATATTTGCGAAGGTGCATCATTTTTGTGCTTTAAAACACTTGGCTTCCTTCAGGTCAGACATTGCATGGAAGAGTGCTAAATATGCACAGATATGGGAGTATCTACGGGATGAATATGAGCTGACACAAAGATTTGGGAGCCTTGACTATAAGTTGAAGTTTGTCGAGGTAAACCTTGAATCTTTTTTGTTTTTGTTTTTTTTTTCTTCGTGAGGTTTCATCCCTTAGTCGAAAGGCTAATAAAATGTGCATTTCACTTGGTTTCTGCTATGCTTTTTGCAGCACAACATACACACCTTCCAGGATATTCTTCAGAATCGGAAATCAGTATTTATGGAGTGTCTAATAATTGTTTTGATTGCTTTGGAGATTCTCATCTCACTTTATAGTGTATATACTCATTGAAGTTAGGGAAGTAAGTCTGGAGTTGAACTTCCAGAAAGTCAATCAGCAAAAAAAAAAAAAAAAAAAAATCCAATTTTGATGGTTAGATTTATTTATTAGAACTTCTTTGAGCTAAGCACTTCAAGAAGGTCCATTTTGATGTTATTGGTCCCTTTTCTATAGTTTGTAGTGGCATCGTTTTTAATAAGATACAGTGTTTTAGCATGAAACTCGCTTTTTGCAAATGATTTCTCATTCTCGTGGCTCTCTTTGCAGTATCTGAGGCCTTCTGTTCTTGATAGCCATTCAGAATCTGCAGAATTATATGGCTGGTAGGTTATGAGATTCATAGTTTCTTTTTCATTTCTGTAATTATTGGCCCGAGATGACTTGGATTCATTGAGGGACAGTTCAGCTCAGCAATCTCCTCCCCATTTGAACCTGGACGCAGCCAGGCCCTGAATTAATTTGGGTTGCGGGTTGGTTTTCCTTTCAGAGCCGTTGGGGAGTGGAGCTAGAGTTATGCGCTGTTCCAATGCAAAGTGGTCACGCCTGATGGCCCCACACGTTTGTCGCGAATACGCAGTCCCCGTCCCCCACCCCGAATAAACCGACATCGGCTTGCCAGTCGAACATTTCGGTAAGCTTCGCTGACGTCGTCACGCTCTCCTCGAGACGGGCGTCCACCCGTTTTGGGGGCGGCATCGCACGCGCCTCTCGCCGCTGGAGACACGAAACGAATCCCCAACCCGTCCGATCCGTGGCTTCCCTGATCCCTTGCTTCCAACCGACGCAAAGGCGGAAGCCTGCGACGTATCAGCCACGAGGAGGCGGTCGCAAAGGAGTTCACGAATCTGACGGTCGGCCTCCGCTCCATCATCTCCGTCGGATGATTCGACGACACGTGATGGAGCGAGTCGGCGGAGGCACGGAAAGCGAAACGCTCTGCTGCTGCACCACCCACCGCCACCGCCCGTTGTTTGTTCCCCCGCCCCGGTCCCCGGTTTACTGATGTGACCGACACGTCCGGAGTTTGACCGGCCCACGTAGCAAACACCAGTCGCGATTTGTGAGGCTGGGTGGGGCCCGGCCGGTGGTTCACCGCAGATTGGCTGAGGCGGCTTCCGCTGGGTGCAAGTGCAGCACTGGCGTGTCGACTTCGCTTACGGAAAAGTAATCATTTATTCTCCCCGTCCCTCCGTTTCTCTTGCATCCGTAGCTTCTTCTTCCACCGCTATTTAGCCGAGGGATGGAATGCCGTTCATTCTTCCCATGCTTTGCTTGTGTGTGATATGCTTCTCTCCTCAGGTAGCTCTCCTTGCACAAGAACATCTGCATGAGATTATGGAGATCTCCAGCGCACATCACCAGGTAATTAATGATGGACGAATAGGAGCTCACACTTCTCTCTTTCTTTCTCTGCGAACATTCTCTACCTTTCCCTTTTCTTCTCTTGCCTTCTTCCAGCTCCTGCTTGGAGTGTTGGTTGTCGGTGATACCAGTTCTTCTCCGATCACTTCATTCTATTCAACCGGAGAAACGTCACGGGAGTCGGTAGTTTCATGTCCTTTCATTTTGAAGCTCTTCCTCTTTGTCCGGGATGATAGCATGTCTCCTTCGCTCCTGCAATTGCTTTGAGATGTAGTTGAGAGGCTCTCTCTGCCTTGGTCTACTCTTGCGAGTCGTGATTAATAGAAATGTAGTGGGGAGATAGCTCAGGAGACATAAGAACACGAGGTGGAAGGAAATAATCTGCAACGTTTTCTAGTTGTTGCGGCTGTCGTTTGACAAAAGGAAGAGAAATGAAGTGATTTTGAGTTTTAGCAATATATATGATATCGGTAAAACAATTAGTCTTCACCGACCTACATTTATCACCCATATTGAGGTTAGTAAATGATGGAAAGTGTGGCACCTAATTAACCTTTGTGATGATGGATCTTTCTTGCTCTAAATTTACCTATTAATCGAGAAGGTTACTTCATGTATGTCTTCCTTCATCGATAATTCCCTCATTTATGGCATTCATCTAGTTTTTCTTCTCGAAATGCAAGTAGCAGATTGTTCTGACTCATATGCCTTTGATCATGCACGGTGGAGGTTCTCGTCATTCGTGGTCTTTTTGAGAGCATTTATAGGCCGCTCTGTCTCTGTAAACGTTAATTCGTGGGTTGGATCTCCTGCAGGCGGCCATGGCTAGCCTTCCACTTGAAGGAACTCTAACTGGGTGCCAAAATCTACAGAGGCAGCAGCAGCAGCAGGAGAGGAAGGTTAGGCCACAACCAGAGCAATCCCTCAAGTGCCCCAGATGCGAGTCCACCAACACCAAGTTCTGCTACTACAACAACTACAGCCTTTCCCAGCCAAGGCACTTCTGCAAGGGCTGCAGGAGATACTGGACCAAAGGTGGCTCTCTAAGGAACGTCCCTGTTGGAGGTGGCTGCAGGAAGAACAAGAAGTCTTCTTCCAAGAGGCCACAGCACCAGTCCTTCACCACCATCTCTAACCCACCACTCCTTGCTTATGACCCCAGTGGCCTCAGCCTGGCCCTGGCAAGCCTCCAGAAACAACACCACGACCCAGGGCGTTCGCTGGATGACCACGAAACCTTCCTTCTCGGAAACCCTATTCTTGATGATCCTACAGCACCTCCTGCAGGGTTCCTTGACATGATGAGGACTGGGTTTCTTGATGGCACCACTGATTACTCGAGCTCCTTCCACAACCTCTACTGTGGATATGGTGGCAATGGCAGTACTGACGTAGAGGTGGGTTTGCCCTTTGGTGGAGGACTGGGTGGCGCAACCACAACAACTGCTACGACTGTGACCACTACCAGCCAGCTCTCCTGCAGGGACTTGGATAGAGAGGAGGACAAGATGTTGGTGGGTCTCCAATGGCAGGTGGGAGGAGATTGCAACATGGCTTTGGACTCTACCAGAGATCACTGCAGCTGGAATGGTACTGTTGGTTCAAACTGGCACAGTCTCATCAACAGCTCCCTCATGTAGACAGGTGAAACCATCCAGGCATACATAAGATCAGATGTCAAGTGCTTCTCTGGTTATCATCAATCTTCTTTCTTTTGCATGCGTTTCGTTACTTCCTTTACACTGTTTGCTAGCCCTGAGTGTCGAGTGGATAAGTATTGTGTAATTAACGGAGGGAAATAGAGGATGGATGGATAATAAGTTCTTCTCTTGCAGCCTTAGTCTGGCGAGGATGAATCGATCACCTCCACACTGTGAAGCAAAGAGAGGGAAAGGAGGCATGGGGTGATAAGAATGCTGGAGGAGAGGTAGGTTTTCGGTGAAGTGACTTGGAATCTTGCGGCGGTCGAAGCCATCATATGAGATTGTGCAGGGGTGGGATTCCCAATGCATGGCCGCAACCCTACCGTCATGGGAAGCGAATAATAGGAGTGCGTGGACCACCTCATGCACCCATGCACGCCATGGCACCCCAAATTGCGAGCATCTTGGTACAGACAGTGCGTGTCATGATCATTGCACAGCTGATCACGTAACCCTGGAAAATCTAATCACTATTTTTTCTATAAAAGGTAAAATATATGTTTTAATGACCTATTAGTTTGATTAATGAATCAAATATTTTTAATTAATTAATTAATTAATAATAATAATAATAAACTCATTTGATCTTATAAATTAATTTAATTTTTTTTATATAATATGATTATTTTACTCAAGATGAATTATGATTTGACAGGTGTTAGAGTCTCTAAATATATGTCATTCTTTCACATGCTCATGGATATATTGAG